CCACCTCACCCTTCGTAATCCAAGCCAAATTCCGGTCGGAACTCTCCTCAGATTTCAGTGGACTTTGTTCTTGAGGGTGATTAGACCCACTGAACAAGATAATCACTTCCGCACACACCTTCGTAGACCCTTGCCTTTGTCGAGTGTGTTATCAATGAGTGCGCAGCTGTAATAGGTTGCCAGTTTCTCCGCCGAAAATGCACGAGAACGAGGCAAGATGAGGGTGGTTGGGTGCTCCGCCACGCAGCCGTACGGCCAGCCACACACCTGATCATGGCGAAAGGCGCTGCTTGTCCGAGCCCTCTCACTTCTGCCTCTCTACCATTGAGTGGGAGTTTCGCTGTGAGAACGTTGGTATCGACACAAGCGCTGCACAATGTGGACGGCGGTGGCGATGCATGGAGGCACTATCCGGGCACAGTTGCTCTCCAGCCCCGTTCCCATGCCCTTATGATCGGAGGAAGTTGTGCGTTACTCCTCCTGAGACCCATTCACCTCGCACATGGAAAGAATCGTCTTTTTAGGTGGGTGTACAGTTGTCCTCAACTGACTGGCGCCTGCGCCACAAACAAACATGGGAAACATCCAAAATAACTGGATTCGCTAATATTCGTAAGGATAGTTTGACTTTACACTACCGTATTTTCCGCTCGAAAGGCCTAGTACTGCGCATGCTGCGTGCATTGGCCCAAAGCACCCTTCAGAACCATTGGTTCGGTTTAGAACAGGTGCGACACTCGTGTTTAAAGGGTCAAGCTACATCCGGGGACACTATTCTACAAAATCCACTCTGTGGAGCAGTGTCGATGGAAATGTGGCTTGAATTTAATGAACTGGGCATTAGAAGCTAAATAGTGCCAGATTTGCTTCACATAAGAACTAATCAACTTGCTATTCTGAACCTGAAGAGGGTTAGAAAGTATTACAACTTACATGGTATTTAGGCCATCTGATTGTCTTGTTCGCAGGTTTCTGTTTCGGCGTTTTCGATGTTGATCTTGAATAATAGCGTTCCACGGCCCGTTTTTTTGCACAGACAACAGTGTCCGTTCCAGTAACTAGGCAAGTTGATGGAAGTTTATAAGCCTGGATACAGATGAAAGTTTCCCCATTGAGAGGATGACATTTTTCTCTAGTCTGAAAATAATTTATTGAGATCGCTTTCATTTTCTTTCTTATTTCAATACTTCTCAATTCATCTCATTTACTGCAATTTATAATTTCTATAAGAAATGTAGGGGGAAGGAATAATTGGAGACCAAAATCATTGGATATAAGGATTCTATTGCCCGGGCAAACTCACGTGGCACATTTCACTCTGTATCACTCCTAGAGAAGGCGTGATTCAGAGTGGACAGCTGCCAGGTCTGGGATGTTGCTACATGTGCGTAAGGTGTATGGGTGAGACGGGAAAGCGTCCTGATCTCTCTCCCCCAGTATTGGGGGTGCGCCATTTTCACCAATAACACCGCTATACTCCCACCTCCCATCCTGCCCAAATGCCTAGATCTTCCTAAACGCTCCCAACCTTCTACAATTTTCCCACAGCTTACGAAAATTTCAGCCCCCCCCCCCCGAAGTGAAGTGAGTGAGAAACCAAGAATCTGGGAATCCCTGAAGCACGACGTGCTCCTGGTGTGGTTCAGGTGGAGCAGACCTGTGTGGGTTATGCTTATGATTATTATGTGGATTATCAGATCTTTTTAGATCTACGATTTTTCCCCCACTTTTACGAGCAACTACGACCTTGTTGAAAACGCCCAACTTAGGGCGCCGTTCAAAAGGCAACTTACCACACCTCGGCGGGCAACCCAAGCCAAGCTCCCCACAATAAGGCATGCGAGTATCAGCCAGCGCATTTTCTACCTGAAATGTTAAAAAGTGCGTAGATTTTAGCCCGTTTCATTGAAATAATAAGGCTACTGTCCTCCAAGGCACACAGCAATAACGTGAAAATAATGAAAGGGTAAGATAGAGGGTCTAGAAACGAGGAAATGATGGTACTTTGCTGCTCCACTATTTATATTAATCTAATAATCGTATTTGTTATTCTAATCAGTTTGAATTTCTACAGCTTAAGGTGGCTTCTGTACGAATGCGATACAAAGCGTATTCCTTTCGTTGCAAAATTGTTCATGAAAATGGTGAGAGCGAAGCATTGGCACCAAAATAATAGAGCAAAAGCAGCGTGGGGCAACCCCGACGCACCTTCTCGAAGCACTGTGCCTTGTCCCCGGTCTGTTTGGAAGCAACAGGCACAGCGTAGTAGACGAAGTCAGCGGACTTCCTTACTGATAGGTAGCACCTCATGAAGAAGGTGTCAAAGAGATTAACGCTTTTGCCTGGTAGAACAGTCCTCTGGTGATCCTCCACTGAGACTCGCATTTGGTCGCTGGAAGAGAGGGGGAGGGTCTTATTTGGTCTGGGAAGAGATTTTTTCGATTGTTGAACTGTCCCGTTTCCAGCAGTCCATATACACCCTCCCCCTAAGTGGGCGCACAGAAAATTTCCTAGTTCTGATAGCTGATCCTAGGAGTTTGCCTTTTCCCGCCCCCTCCGTTCGACGGCAATTTTTGGAAAAGTTTGGTAGGACCGGAGATTTCATGAGGGAGAGGGTCATACTGATACCGTTATTTCACCCATCCCGATGCTGTTGCGTGTACTACCTAACCGTGTTGAGAGCACTGCAGGAGTAGAAACCATGAAAAGTGCGGCGCACTAGAATACTCAACCAGTGCACGTGAAAGGCTACGCCGCTCTGAAAAACGATAGCGTCAGTGCAATCTCCCTCCTACGAGGGCATTAGCAGATCACCTTAGAACGAACGTTCACTAAGCGTTCACTACTAACTATCTGCTCTTGCCCTGCGATGTTGGCGGCCACCTATGAGCTAGTTCCTGGATAGTGCCCCAATTGCTGAACCATTTTTAGGTGGCATCGTATTGAAGGTATAGCTCAGTCCGCTAGCCATTTGCACCGGAATGCTATCTTATGAAACCCCTCAATAGAGCCAACAGTAGCTACAGTACCTTCTCTCTGAAACACCACAACCATCTCAAGATTGGAGCATTCGTGAGAGCAAATGCTGGGTTGTGACCATGTCGTTCTTTCTAGAAAAATGTATTACAAATATTCCTCACCTTGAAAAATGTCGTCGTTGTTGTATCATTGTGAATAAATACTTTCATATAGGAGTATTCACCGTTCGGACAAAAACTATTTTCGAATTAACAGGAAAACCTAATGCTCCGGCACTATAGCCATTCTAGACTTCTTGAAGGCTCAATTGTGCTTTAAGAGCACTTCGGTTCCTGAAAGTGTTTAGGAAGTGGTCATACGGCGTTGATTGCATCTCCGCAGTACGTTAATGTACTCATCATGGAAAAGTGTGAGGGGGCAAACAGAAGAGAAATACTGATTTTTTTGTCAAATCCAATGGAGCACCGGGTTTTTCGGCTTGTTCAGGATTCATTAAGTGAATTCGATGTCCACAAGTAAGCTTCATAAATGGTATAAAGCTGTTTCGTTTTCACCTTACAGTAACTTAGGACTAATTTGTTCTTTTTCCAACAGAAATCGCCTCGATTTTGTGTAGCAAGCAGTATAACGCTAAAAGCAATGCGAACGGCTTAATTGGCATAGAGCCGGCGAAGAATAACGAAAGCATCTCAGTGGCTTTTGCCATTCTTCATCGGTATGCCATCAGGTGCCATTTAGCGCCATATTGTACATGTTTGCTCATGAATGCACAGTTGGTGTAATCGCAGTCCAGGTGGCATCAAGCCTAATCGGCTTGATAGCGCCTTCCCACCTGGTTGGATGAGCCTACCGGTCTACGTATCCCGATTCCTTGACCGCGCCAACTTTCTGTCTTTCTCTGCTCTTCCACATCTACATGATTTTATTTGGCCGCAGTGACCCTATACATCCAAACTTTTCAAGACTTATGAAAGGCTTCCACGAAGTCCACCTCCTCTAATAAGTCACGCCCTGGTTAGCGATATGTTTTCTGCAGTTTTTGATGCCTTGGCAGCCGCAATCCTTCGCTTCTCTGCGCTGGCCTTTCGCACCAGGACCACTACGAGACATCATAGTTGTCGCGTAACGAGCCTAGTCGGGTTTTTTATTTCACTCTTATTTGCTAAAAACCGGCCGCTTTTCTTTATAAACGCAATCAGGCGTGAGCTTACTACACATCTCCTGACATCACAGCATCGGATCGCGATGACATGAAATATACATATGAACTTGATATTTAACATTTGCTGGGCAAATAAATCAGAGCAGCTGTTCAGAAAGTTGTCATTAATGAGTTCACTACTTGGCAAAAGCTTCTATGTTTGTAAGTCTGAAATCTTTTTTAATGCATGAGACAGCATAACAACACATTACATTGGGACTAATCAATGGGAACAAGCGTGTAAAGGGACAGAACGGTGGAAATGCTCAATACCTTAAACTCTAGTTTGAAGCAATGATCAACATCAAAAGGGTGAAAGAACTTCATACCCAATAAAGTGGAAAATCCAAGAAAAAATTATGCGTTTTTCGTTCAAAAACAGTAAAATGGTTGCTTCGCTTCTTGATCAGACCACTTTGTTTGTCTTCCCCTGAGGTCCTTCAGTGATCATGAGAAGACGATTTAATCAGTTTGTGAGCATTGCGCTGCATAAGTTGAAGGAATTAAACATATCACAAGAACACAAGAAAAACAGTCATATTTAAGCGCAGACAAAAGAACAAAACATAGGCAAACCACTAGTGCTGATGCTAGTCCACATTCAGTGCTATGGATAAAAGTACACCGTCAAAATGACGCTAACCATAGGAGTGTTAATAAAGCATGTTACAGGGACAGGAAGCATAGTTATGGCTCAGAAGAAAAAGCTATAGGGAACATGATGTAAGCTAAGTACACTAAATCTCCTAATTATTACTGGTTCCTTAAGTGTTTACTATTTTTGTGGCTGAATACTCATAGGTACTCTTGGGAATATAGGATGCTTCGATACTATTCTAAAGGTGCCGAGTATGAGAGGTGATCCAGGAGATCACCGGCAGTGGGCGTTTTGGATGAACGCGCTTAACTTAAGGGATAAATGAAACGGACCTGGCGGAAAAGAAATAGCAAGGCGTAGATACAGCGAAGTAGCAAAATGTTGTGGGCCATTTCATGCAGATATTGGCCGCACCTGCATTATAAGATTACGAAATGCGATTTAAGGCTGCTCGTTTTATGTATCGCAAGCCAGTTCATTTGATTGCTTCTTTATAATTTTGATATCTCCACGCCAGCTGCATAACCAAGTACTAAGTCCTATTGATCGCACTCCTGGAATGCCGATCAGCAGAAGAAAGCCCAACGCATTTGACGCACGCATCACTGATCCTCTGGCGGAATGATTGAGAATTGCAAGTATCTTGCTATGGAAAAACAAAGTATAGTCACTGCCCAACGAACCGCGCGTCAAGTGCGAACGCCCTTCAATTCTTTGCTCCCCCTCCCTCTAGGGCACTTAGCATCGCTGCTGATCAAACCCATGGGGGTCGATACTGGTTCTGCTCCTGGAGTGGGGTCCTACTTTTATATTTTAAGACATTAATATGATTTTTTAGATAGTTTGGTTTTTTTCTTTGTGGTAAAAGGGGGGTCGTATTAATTTGTTTTTGTTTTTTATCTGGCCACTATTATTAAGCATCTAATAGGCTTTCTCTGCACTCCTGTGGATATACGTTGCATATGTTATTGTATGGGCCCCTCGCGGCTCGACAAGTTTTTTCGCCGACTTATATACTCATTGGCCGTCCCGTCGGCAAAAAGCAGTGGAAGGGGTCGTGCCGCTGGCCTGGACCCCGCATTTGATCGGGGGGGGGGGGGTAGTACTTCAGCACCTCCCGACATTTCGCACATCGCCCCCATGACCACCCCTCCTTGAAATGATCGGTTTGGTGCGTATTGTCTCTTTTTCACATATCCTTGGAGGAGGGTCATTCCGCTCACTGTGTCGGCTTTAATCAACACTGAGTTACCCCGGCTTTCTATTCTATTCCACGGAGTCTAGATTGTTCTGAAGAGTTTTTAGTGTAACCTTCGGTTTCTTACCTCGCTTCTGCTTTCTTTTTATCTGTTTTTTTTATTGTTCTTGGCAGATAATTTGGTGCTAACGTAGTTGGAGGGGGCCACGCGGCTCTGGGCCAGTGATGACTCATCCGATCCGATAAGCATGCGTTGTGACATAACCTAATCTATTGCAGCAAAATTCAGATATTATAAACAAAACCATGACTCTCCTTCACGCTTTCTTGCATTCTTGCCGATTTGTATTATTTTAACTGCTGGAAATCCCTAACAGAACACTGAAAGACCAACATTGGTATGATCTTTTGTCGTCAAGAACAGTCGGCGGTCTAATAACAAAAAGATGCAACAAGTTTAGGCAAAATTTTCGGTCCCAACTTACTGGTTTTTTTCGCATTCTTCAGAGTTAACTGTTTTATCTTTTGAATATAGCTAGGACAATCTTATATCTATGTCCTAAACATGAAAAGAAGAGTCGATGAGTCATCACTGGCCGAGAACCGCGTGCCCCCCCCCCCCCAAATGACGTTAGCACGGCAATACCGTTTCATTGTTGCCCAGTTGACCATAGCTTCATCTCGTATTTTCCTGTTCACGCTGGTCCATGTGCACTATTCCTTTTGCAGTGGCCATATTCAAAATAATAAGCAAACAAATAGAATATATTTGCATGGTGCCACATTCAAGTCTTCTTAAAAAACGATTATTCAGGTGCAATTAATGTGAAGTGATTGAATCTCAAAATATGATAACATAAATAGTGGCTAAGTGGGACATGATCAGAAGTGCTCATTTTCTCATTTCACCAGTGAGTTGGCCAATAAGTTTTGAAACAATTATTCGAGCTTTCTTTACCAAAACCCTTTATGCTAGTGGTTTTAGTTTTTGATAACTTCTGTCACCAACACCGCATTTGTGCTTTGCATGGTCGCCAAGGTCGCCTCGTGTTTATCTCTCGTTCTTGTAGAGAAGCCTGCGAGTTCACCTGGCTGAAACTGAGCCATCGCTTGGGTCATTCAATTGAATTATATATGGCCTCTTCGAGAGCTTGAAAGATATAAGTATGACTGGTAGTTAGTTCACCATGGTGGGCCAGGTCGCCCAGTATGCCAGCCCCCGTGGTTTTAAAACATGTTTTGGGAAAATTTTTTGGGAAAAAAGTAACACCATTCCGTGCGAGACTAGAGGCCGACAGAACCTCGAGGTGATTTCGCGATGTAAGGTTACGCATTGTTTGGCGACCGAGCAAGACTCCGCACCGTCTTTGTGGTGCCCCTCTATTTTTCTCCCAGCTAAGCTGCTACTCGATCCAGCTATTCGCAGCCCATTTCAGCAAGAGCATTCTAGCATTGAGGAGCATTTTCAGAATTGAGACTATGACTATCACCCACTTATAGCTACCAAGTACAACTTCCTCCCTCCCCCCCCCCCCGATAGACCACCTTCCTTTACGTTCCACCTGCGACACAACATTCTTTTCTCGGGAACTGGCGGAGGCGTTGAGGCTCTTTTCTTTCTCACCTTTAGCCACTGGCTTCGTAGTCGACGTGAGAGACCCAGTTCTCGTCTCTTGTTGCTCCATAGTCCGTCAGTCTGACTCGTGTTTGAAGTTGGGGGAGGGTTGCAAATATCCGTTCTGACACGCGTTACGTAAGGGGTCAAAGTGTAAGATAGAGGTGGAACACCGCCAAAAGCAACCAGTGAGGGACGATGATAAAGGATGAACTGCTTAGCATCAACTATCTATAGTACTGGGCTGAATATCATCGAAAAAGCTCAAACGTCAAAAATAGTTCGAACCTTAGGCAGCGTTCAGACTTCGCGACGGCAGCGCTTCGATCGCGCGTTCGACGCGATCGATGCAGTCGAAAGCATGCGCATCGATCGCGTCGAACGCGCGACCGAAGCGCTGCCGTCGCGAAGTCTGAACGCTGCCTTATATTCATACACCTCTCGTTTTTCAGGCGAAAGAATGCGTCGGAAGATACTTGCGTGCCTTATTCTGGGGTGCTCCGCATGGCAAAAATTCACGAGGGAGGAGGTAGGTGTCACTAAAGATTATGCGAATTGACTGAGATTGAATCCTACACACGTCTTCCAATTCTATATCAGCAGCAAAGTAGATGAATACATCTGATAAGAAGCCTTCCAAGCGAGCGTTGTATACCTGTGTGACGGCGGTGTCTAAGTGGTAAAGGAAGAAGCGAAATGAGGAGCTTTTTCTTGAAATTCGTCCTACACATTAATTGTACTAACTCAGTCTACGTCTGCTGGAACCTTGTGATGAGACACGCCTAGGTCATAGTTATGTTCATTGCAAGGTCAAGTAACGTTTTTTTTCACAAGCACAATTGACAATTTTTGAACGTGAATTAGGCGAGACTCTTACGTGAGGGTTCATCCTCCCTTCTGAACGCCCGATGCGTTCCTGAATAAGCCTCGATTGTCGCGTTTGCTTGTGCGATTTCTCGTCTCAGAAACTGTCGGTTATCGTGTTGTATCAAAATATGTTCCAGAGTATGTGGCAATGCACCATTCGCGATGGCATAGCCACTTGCACCCAGGGTTTTGCAATTCCATCGAACTGCGTGGCGGTTGGGAAAGACTATGTCGCTTGCATGAGGCGGTTTTCCGCCGAGTGAGTTTGCATTATCTCTCACCACTTATTAAAGAGAAGCTGCACAATATGAGGAACTGGTTCTCGGGCTTGAACGTTGGCTCCGAGTGATTAAAAAATTTCCTTTCAGAACTTGAGATAATATTATTTAGTTCGTCCAATTCGGATTTTCTCCGGAAATGATGAAATTTAAAGGCACATTGTTGCTCAAACACACTTGTAGGGTGAATGAGACTGATTGCAGCCCCGCAACCTGGTGGTCCCGCCCTCCCCAAGAAACTGGCACGGAGGTCAGAGTACGGGGCGCGCGTGGGAAGAGTCGTAATTCCTTGCTCGCACCGCCCCCACGTTTTATCGCTAAGCAACCCCATCCGCACGGCGGAGGGGGGGTGCGTGCAGCTTCTCTTGGCTTTTTGCCAGATCCTGTAACTGCGCTTTGGAATGCAAGTACAACGCAATTTCTTTATGCGGATAACATTTTAGGTGGTGTGCTGCAAAATAGTAAGAAAACGAAGTGCTGGCTAACGGGCTAGAACTGCAAGTGCAACTGTGTGTGCTTTGCAAATATATCGCTCAGAGGCCGCGCGGATTCCCACACAAATGACAATAAAATATCGGACGAACATGACAATACAAGCAAAACGCAATTTCCTAACATTTGAGGTATTGCTCATGCTTCAAAGTCCGAATAGAAGGTGATGAAGATGACAAAGGCTAGAAATGAACAACAACGAATGTAGATGTAAATAAAACAAAATTGAAAAAAAAACTAAGGAAACGCAATAAATTTAAAACGCGTGTGCATTTCTGCGATCCGGCTCGAATCCGGCTCTAATGCTATAGAACTACTTCAACAGCTACTCCGAGTGGATGACGCCCTTTATCCGTCCGTTTATATTTTGATGTTTTGTGGGAATGCGCGGCCTGCGAGGGCTGTTGCAGAAGCAGCACAGTTGCTCTTGAGTTCTAGCCCTCGTCATCATCTTCAGTTCTTATTTTGCAGAACCTAAAATGTTATCCGCATAAAGAAATTGCGTTGTACTTGTATTCCAAAGCGCAATTACAGGACTTGGCAAAAAGCCAAGAGAGCTGCACGCGACCGCGCCGCGCGGACGGTGTTAGTAAAACGTGAGTTTGCAAAAACGGGCGGCGTAGCAAGGAATTACGACTTTCCCACGGTCCCGTACTCTGACCCCGTGCAGTTTTGGGCGGGGGACCACGACACATCGACAGCTGGGGGGCTGATAGTCTCATACACCCTCAATGTGTTTGAGCGTACCATGTGTCTTTAATGAAAATGTGAATGAAAGTAAACATTGGTAATCGCGGAGCGCCTTTCGTTTCCATCCTCAATCATGTATTTCCGTAGGTCAACGAGATGTCTGCGTTGGCTAAGTATTTTTGAACCCAAGCTACTGATTAGAACCTAAATTTGAATGTATCGCCGATGGGTTGTCTGACTACAAGCGAGCTGACCTTCAGATCTTTTCATATATGCTGTGCTACACACTTTTGACAAATCATTTTTATTCACTTTTCACAGACAGTACAAGGTTCACCAAAGGAACGAACTGTTGAAGCAAAGGATGAAATCGAAGAAGAAAAAGAAGAAGACCTAATCACTCGAGATAATTAACCTTCTTCAGCATTGTCTTTGATCATCTGACATAAGAAAGCTTTTTGGACTTTTTGGCTTTTTGGACGCTTTTATCACGTGTTCTACCTTTCATCCGGCTTGAGTGAAAGAGGCCACTGAGGTCACTACGTCTTGAAGTTGAAACAAAGGTCAAAGGTCGCTGCAGCTGGCGACCCAAGAAATGGTTTTCGTTAATCTGTCAGAGACAAGTGGTACAGGAATGATTGCGTCTCTCCAGGTTCAGCCCTCCAGGAGCATCCAGGAGCATCCTCTTGAGACCGCCACCTTGTCAAGTGCTGTCAATGCCTAGTTTCCTTGGCTTGTGGGGTTTCAAACTCGGATACAAGACATACGTGCCTTGAGCAACTCAGAGCACCACTGACCGAAAGTACGTGCAACTTGGTATGAACAGAGTAGAACAAGTCTAACTGAGCCTCCATAAGTATCGCTATGAGCCTACCTTCCCACATGTGCGCATGAAACATGTTAAAATCATTTCATGTCTTTCAAGCTTGGCGGTCCAAATGAGGCGCCAGGAGCTGAAAGAAGGCTTAGCGCTCGCGAGAGTGAGCAGCTATTAGCAGTAACCAGCATGCATTGAAATTCGCAACCGATTACATTAGA